TGGCGCTGTGGCTCAAGTGGTAGAGCGCTAGCCTTGAGCTGAAGAGCTGAGGGACAGCGCCCAGGCCCAGAGTTCAGGCCCCACGATGGGACCAAAAAAAAAAAAGAAGTAACCTCAGAGCCGAGTTGCTGGTGGCTCATGCCTGTAATCCTAGCTACTCAGGAGGCTGAGATATGACAATCTTGGTTCAAAGCCAGCCCAGGCAGGAAAGGCTGTGAAACTCTTTATCTCCAGTAAACCACCAGAAAACCAAAGTGGAGTTGTAGCTCAAGTGGTAGAGCGCTAGCCTTGAGCTGAAGAGCTGAGGGACAGCCCTTAGGCCCAGAGTTCAAGCCCCAGACCAACAACAACAAAAAAAGAAGTAACCTCAGAGCCATCTCTGGTGGCTCACGCCTGTAATCCTAGCTACTCAGGATGCTGAGATCTGAGGATCGTGGTTTCAGAGCCAACCTGGGCAAGAACATCTGTGAGCCTCATCTCCAATAAGCCACTAGAAAACCAGAAGTGGCGCTGTGGCTCAAGTGGTAGAATACTAGCCTTGTGCTGAAGAGCTGAGGGACAGTGCCCAGCCCTACAACCAACAACAACGAAAAGAAGCAGTAACCTCAGCCAGGCACTGGTGACTCACTGTAATCCTAGCTACTCAGGAGGTTGAGATCTGAGGATTGTGGTTCAAAGCCAGTTGGGGCAAGAAAATCCATGACTCTTATCTCTAATAAACTACTCAAGGAAAAAAAAACAGAAGTAGCACTGTGGCTCAAGTGGTAGAGCCACTACCCTTGAGCACAAAGAGGCTGAGGTACAGCACCCAGGCTGAGTTCAAACCCCAAGACCAGCAGGGGAAAAAAAGAAGAAGTAACCTCAGAGTCAGGAATTTGAATGTTTTTTTCTAAAAAGTGTAAGACCATCTCTGTCATCAGTAGAACAATAAAATGAATGGGCACAGTCCTTGAGATGGGAATGAAGCTTAGTGGTAGTATGCTTGCCTAGTATGCATGAAGCCCTGAGTTTGATTCCTTAGTACCACATGAACAGAAAAAGCCAGAAGTGGTACTGTTGCTCAAGTGGTAAAGTGCTAGCCTTGAGCAAAAGAAGCTCAGGGACAATGCCTAGGCCCTGAGTTTAAGCCCCAGGACTGGCCCCCCCCACCCCAGCCCCTCACCGCCAAAAAAAAAAAAAAGGTGGGCACAGCTCTTCTTTTTTTCTTTTCTTTTTTCTTTTTCTCCCAGTCCTGGGGCTTGAAGCCTAGGTCTGGGTGCTGTCCCTGAGCTTTTGTGCTCAAGGCTAATGCTCTACCACATGAGCCACTGTTCTACTTCTAGCCTTTCATGGTTAATTGGAGATAAGAATCTCATGGAAGTGACGCTGTGGCTCAAGCGGTACAGCGCTCGCCTTGTGCTGAAGAGCACAGGAACAGCGCCCAGCCCCACAACCCAGAGTTCAAGCCCCATGACCAAAAAAAAAAAAAAAAGGAATCTCATGGACTCTCCTGCCTGAGCTTACTTTGAACCCCAATCCACAGATTTCAGCCTTCTGAGTAGCTAGGATTGCAAATAGGAGCCACCAGCTCCTGCCTCATAGCTCCTCTTTTTTTTTTTGGTGGGGGGGGGGTCTGGTCGTGGGGCTTGAACTCTGGGCCTGGGCGCTGCCCCTCAGCTCT